TCCCCCCAAGAGGGAGCCAAGGCGGCCCAAGAGCGCCCCAGGAGTGCTCAGAAGGCGCCCAAGACGGCCAAAGACGGCCCCAATAGAGCCCCAAGAGGGACCCAGATGGTCCCAGGACGGCCCGAGGCATTCCAAGATGGTCCCCAAGATGGCCCCAAGGGCGCACATGAGGCTCCCAAGATACCCTCAAGAGGCTCCAAGAGCTTCCAGCGCGCCTCCCAAGAGGCCTCCTCGGCGCTTTGAGGCACCCGAACAATGTTTAAGACTTGCAGCGAAGCAAGCGCGGAATAGCAAGCGTACTTGCTTTCGTACCTTTTCGCTGTCGACGCGCCGCTCGGGCCTCCAAAACGCCTCCTAAAAACATGGGGAGTCCCTCAAATGCCATCGAGAGGCCCTAGAACCACGCGCGCGCTTCGCGCGCGCTTAGGTTGAAGCCTGTTCCGAAGACGGCATTAGCTATTAGCAGGCACGGGACCGATTCCGTGGCGTCTTCCCAAATACCCTAAGACCCGAACACCCTAACTGGAAAGCCTGAACACGAACACGCCAACACCCGCACATTTCAACCCGACCCCCAAATCCGAAACTCGTACACCCGAACCTTTGACACCCTAAACCTAACTCGGACCCGAACACCCAAGACCGAACACCCTAACCCAAAAACGGAACATCAACACCCCAGCCTGAAAATCCTAAGCCTACACCCGAACACCGTAACACCCCAACATTATCACCCTAACCCACACCCCTGAACCCGAACACTAACCCTAACGCACTTACCCTGACATCCCAACACCCTACCACCCGAACCCCAACACCGAATACCTGAGCCCGAACACCCGAAAACACCAAACATAACACTCTCTGCCAAACACCTAAACTCTATCACCCGAACGCCCTGACCAGAATACCCTAAGCCGAACATCCTAACCCGCACATCCTGACCGTAACCCTAACACCGCAACCGCAACACCCGAACTCAATCATCCAGCCCGAACATCCTAACTGAAACTCCGAACGCAAAAACAGGAATTCAAACCCTAAGGCGCGAAACCTAACACACAAACCCGAACACCGTGACCCGAACACCATGGGTGCCACGGGCCTCTTAAGGCCCTATCGAACAGCCCAAGAGGCGTCCTAGACGGACCCAAGACGGTCCCAAAACGCCTCCAGAGATACCCCGGACCATCCAAAGAGGCCCCGCACCAAGGCCTCCAATACCGCCCGACATGTTTCCAAGAGCACGTCCAGGAGAGCCCCAAGAAGCAACATTCAATGGTTGGCTTTACGTTGTGTTCTGGATTTCGGAGTCTTCGCCTTTTCGTCTGCCCGTCGCTCCAATACGACTCAATAGGTTCTACATATAGCCGACACGGCCCAAGAGGCCCCCAAGAGTACGCCGAGACAACCAAAGAGGGCCGCAAGGAAGCCCAAGAAGGCCCCCGGAGGGCTCCGAAGGGAGGGTTCCCCGCCATGTTCTGGCAATGGCGTGCCAAAAGTGTTAAGAATTCCCCAGGGGCGGCCCCATTGGGCCCCACAAGGGCTCCCGAAGTGCCCCCAGAGATCCCAAAAGAAGAACCCGAGATATCGAGCACGTGAACATGTTCTAGAGTTTAGGCGTTCTTTCTGGAAAGGGTTTAAGAATTAGAGTTCGGGCGTCAGGGTGCTAGGATGTTTCGGTGAGTGTTGGGGTCATGGCGTTCGGGCCATTGTGTCAGGATTCGGGCCAGCGTGTTAGGGATCGGGTGTGAGGTTTAGCGCGTTAGGGTCACAGTGTTCGGATTAGTGCGTTAGGGTTCGCGCCTTAGGGTTTGAATTCCTGTGTTGGGGTTCGGAGTTCCATTTTGGATGTTCGGGCTGGGGAATTTTGGGTCCGGGTGTTATTGTTGCGGCGTTAGGGTTACGATCGGGGTGTGCGGGTTGGGATGATCGGCTTAGGGTATTCTGGTCAGGGCGTTCGGGTGTTTGCGTTAAGGTGTTCGGCTGAGGATGTTCTGTTTGGTGTTTTCGGGTGTTCGGGCTCGGGGGTTAGGGTTCCGATGTTTGGGCTATTGTGATGAAGTTGGGGTGTGAGGATTCTGGTTTTAGGCCTGGGGTGTTTCGGTCAGGGCGTTGAGGCGTGAGGGTTCGGGTGTCAGGGCTGGGGTATTCGGTGTTATTGTTCGGGTGTACGGGTCAGGGTGTCAGGGGAAGTGCGTTCGGGTTACAGTGCTCGGGTTCAGGGGTGTGGGGTTAGGGTGATAGTGTTGGGGTGTTAGGATGTTCGGGTGTAGGGTTGGGGCTTTCGGACTTGGGTGCTGATGTTCGGTGTTTGGACTCGGAAGCTCGGCTTAGGGTTGTTCTGTTTAGTGTCTTCGGGTGTTTTCGGGCTCGGGGGTTAGGGTTCCGGTGTTAGGATTGTTGTGTTAGAGTTGGGGTGTGAGGATTCGGGTGTTAGGCCTGGGGTGTTTCGGTCGGGGCGTTCGGGTTTCAGGGCTCGGGTATTCGGTGTTAGGGTTCGGGTGTACGAGTGAGGGTGTCAGGGTAAGGGTGTTCGGGATAGAGTGTTCGAGTTCAGGGGTTGGGGTTAGGGTGATAGTGTTGGATTTTGAGGGTGTTCGGGTGCAGGGTTAGAGCTTTCGGGCTCGGGTGCTGCTGTTCCGTGTTTGTGCTAGGGTGTTCGGTCTCGGGTGTTCGGAGTCGAGTCGTAAATTTAGGGTGTCAGGGTTCAGGTGTACGAGTGTAGGAGTTGGGGCTAGGGTTTGAGTATGCGGGTGGTCGGGTGCTCGGGTTCAGACGTTCCCGTTAGGGTGTTCGGGTTAGGGTGATAGGGTCTAAGGGTATGTTGGAAGACGCCACGGAATCGGTTCCGTGCCTGATGATACCGTCTTCGGACCGGCTAGAACCTAAGCGCGCACGAAGCTCTCGTGGTTCTAGTAGCTATGTGTGCATGGATAGGTGAAGCAACATTCATACATATTTGCATGTGTATACATGTGTGCTGGCGTGTGTATATATATACATCATTTATATATGAGAATATGCATAGCTGTCCATGTGTATATATATATATATATGTGCGTGTGTATATGTAAGGTGCGTTGTCTGTGCTTGCACTCAATGCAGATTATGTATCGTATGTGTGTAGTTTTGTGTATATAGATAGACCCATGTATGCATCCCTAGGGGATCCAATGGAATCCCTCGGAATCTGGAGGACTCCTGAAGGAATCCTTCGGATTCCCCCGGGATCGTCATTCTCCCACGAAGTCCAAAAGGAAATCCTCAGGAATCACATGATTCCTTATGAAATTTGTGGGATCTTGCGAGGCCGGAGGAGCAGGAACCCTTGAGAAGAAGGCCAACCCCCTCAGCGGTGGCAGCAGCGAGGGAGGTGATGAGTCGTTCAATCGCCTCCCCCCTCCCCCTGGGAACGCGGGTTTCTTCAGGCTTCTTTTAAGGATTACATGGCGCCTCCATAGGGGGCGTCACCCTCGGGGGCCTTGTGATCCCACCTGTCCAGGGGGAGCTTGAATCTTCAGGAATCCTTGAGGAATCCTTCAGAATTCCCTTTGGAATCCTGTTGGAACCCTCCAGGAATACATTACGAATCCCTGAGCCCCCCCCCGGGAATCCGCAGGAATCCATCAGGACCCCATCAGGAACCCTGAATCCCCCAGGACACCCACAGGGATCCTGAATCCCCCAGGACCCCCTCAGGAATCCATTGGGATTCCCTCAGGAATCTTCCAGGAATCCTCAGGAATTCATATGGAACCCTGTATGACAATCCAGGAGCCCCATCAGAAATCTTTTAGGATCCTCAGGAATCTCTTAGGAATCCCGCAAGTATGCTCAAGACTCCTGCAGGAATCCTTTCAGGAAGTCTCAGGAATCCCTGAATAATCCCTGAGGAGTCCGTCGGCATCCTTGCACATCTTTTCGGGCTCCTCAGGGGTCCTTCAAGCGCTGGGAAGCTAAATAACGCTTCCGTGGTTGTCATGCGGCATTCGCCTTGCAGGATTAGTTAAGGATCCTACACGTTGTGATCAGTCCTTATCCAGTGGTTGAAATTAGTCCCAAGTGGGCCTCGAACAGCCGGATGTCGTTGGGATTGGCCTGGATTTCCTCCTGGGGCCGTCTTGGGAGGCCGTCTTGAGGGCAGTCTTTTGGCGATCTCGGGGGGGCTCTTGAGCTGTCGTGGATGCTCTTTCGACCCACAAAGGCGAGTAGTGAAACGCATGCAACAGAACAGATGGCTCCTCAATGATTGATGTCGACCTTTTATGCCGGCCCTCAAGGCTCCGAAGACGTGCCAAGACACCCCCAAGAGGGCTTCAGCACGGACCCTCGGGACCAGTTTAGGGCATGTTGGAGGTTCAGACACCCAGCCACGCGCCAAAGGCCTCAGATAATCACACGGGGAGCTCCGAGATCGGCTGGGGGCGCATGTGAGTTGGGGACCCAGAGCCCCACAGCGTAGTTGGGAAGTTAAGTTTGTTTTGGAAGATTCCAAGTGGCACGATGACACTTCATTTTCTCTTATTGATGGACGAGTGGTGGAGAGTGGTATGCGAAGGGATGGTGATGGTGGGGGGCAGACAGGGATGGAAGGGGGAGCGGAGAGAGGAGGGATTGACTATGGAGGACGGAGGGACAGTGAAATGCGGACGGCCCAATAACTTCTTCGGATGGGTCGAGGAGACAGAGAGTTTCTTTTAGCGTGGAGGAGCGAGCGGGATCAGCAGGACGTCAAGCAACGATTCTGTGAGTGTATCTGGTCAACCTTCTTGTTTCCCCCTTTCTTCTCTTCGCTCGTCTTCTTCTCTGCATCCCCCCCCCCTTTCTTTGTCTCGTGCGCCCTTCCCCGCTCCACCCACCCACCCACCCAGCCCCCCCCCACCTCCTTCTTCCCTCCCAACTGCATCCCCGCCCCCCTCCCCACCCCCCTTCCCGCGACCTCCCGCTTCTTCGCCTACCCCGCACGCGGCGTCGAGGGCGGGAGAACAACAGGGGAGGGGGGCCGTCCCCGAGCGCCTGGCGACCCAGCTGTCGGCCGACGCGGGCATGGAGGACGTCGAGTCGGACGACACCGACAAGAAGAAGGAGGGGAGTGGGGCAGCAACACCCCTCGGGCGGGTGGTAAGGGGCTTGGCATCGCTCGGACGTGTGCATCTGCTCCCGTCGAGGACAATCGAGGAGCATCCTGGATCGGCTGGCCAAACAAATACTCTGGCAACTGACTTAACCCCTGCGCAGTGAGGGGCAGGAGTAGCTTGGGAAATTTGACGAGAAGTCGGCGACGTGACATGGACGCATATACTTCTGCGAGCGGTATTCGGAATGTTCGCAGGTCCCCAATCAAGGGAAAAACGGTGAGTAACTCAGTGAACCCCTGAGTCGCTAAGGAAGACGCACGGTCCAAATGGGCAAGGTGCTTGAAACGTCGGAAGCCAGCAACAGCATGACAAGGCCCCCAATGGACGGCGAGGTCCCGCTCAGGTCTGCGCAGTGCCTCGCTCCGCTGGACCCACCAGCAGCCTTCGAAAGTGACAAGCCCACCAGCAGCCTTCGAAAGTGGCGACGGCTTCGCAGATCGCCCCCCCCCCCCCCCCCAAGGGACGGGGAGGTCTCGCTCAGATCCGCGCGGTGCCTCACTCCGCTGGACCCACCAACAGCCCTCGAAAGTGGCGACAGCTTCGCAGAGCGCAGCCCCTCCCAGGGACGGGAAGGTCTCGCTCAGATCCGCGCGGTGCCCCACTCCGCTGGACCCACCAGCCGCCCTCGAAAGTGGCGATAGCTTCGCAGAGCGCAGCCCCCCAGGGACGGGAAGGTCTCGCTCAGATTCGCGCGGTGCCTCACTCCGCTGGACCCACCAGCAGCCCTCGAAAGTGGCGACGGGTTCGCAGATCGCAGCCTCCCAGGGACGGGGAGGTCTCGCTCAGAACCGCGCGGTGCCTCACTCCGCTGGACACCAGCAGACCTCGACAGTGGCGACAGCTTCACACAGCGCACCCCCCCCCCAAGGGACGGGAGGTCTCGCTCAGATCCGCGCGGTGCCTCACTCCGCTGGACCCACAAGCAGCCTTCGAAAGTGGCGACAGCTTCGCAGATCGCAGCCCCCCCCAGGGACGGGGAGGTTTCGCTCAGATCCGCGCGGTGCCTCACCCCGCTGGACCCACCAGCCGCCCTCGAAAGTGGCGACAGCTTCGCAGAGCGCAGCCCCCAGGGACGAGAAGGTCTCGCTAAGATCCGCGCGGTGTCTCACTCCGCCAGACCCACCAGCAGCCCTCGAAAGTGGCGACAGCTTCGCAGAGCGCAGCCCCCCCCCAGGGACGGGGAGGTCTCGCCAGATCCGCGCGGTGCCTCACTCCGCTGGACCCCCAGCCGCCTTCGAAAGTGGCGATAGCTTCGCAGAGCGCAGCCCCCCCAGGGACGGGGAGGTCTCGCTCAGATTCGCGCGGTGCCTCACTTCGCTGGACCCACCAGCCGCCTTCGAAAGTGGCGATAGCTTCGCAGAGCGTTGCCCCCAGGGACGGGAAGGTCTCGCTCAGATTCGCGCGGTGCCTCACTCCGCTGGACCCACCAGCCGCCTTCGAAAGTGGCGACAGCTTCGCAGATCGCAGCCCCCCCAGGGACGGGGAGGTCTCGCTCAGATTCGCGCGGTGCCTCACCCCGCTGGACCCACCAGCCGCCCTCGAAAGTGGCGACAGCTTCGCAGAGCGCCCCCCCCCCAGGGAACGGGAGGTCACACTCAGATTCGCGCGGTGCCTCACTCCGCTGGACCCATCAGCCGCCGTCGAAAGTGGCGACAGCTTCGCAGATCGCAGCCACCCAGGGACGGGGAGGTCTCGCTCAGATCCTCGCGGTGCCTCACCCCGCTGGACCCACCAGCCGCCCTCGAAAGTTGCGATAGTTTCGCAAATCGCAGCCCCCAGGGATGGGAAGATCTCGCTCAGGTCCGCGTGGTGCCTCACCTTGCTGGACCCACCAGCCGCCCTCGAAAGTGGCGACAGCTTCGCAGATCGCAGCCCCCCCAGGGACGGGGAGGTCTCGCTCAGATTCGCGCGGTGCCTCACTCCGCTGGACCCACCAGCCGCCCTCGACAGTGGCGACAGCTTCGCAGAGCGCAGCCCCAAGGGACGGGAAGGTCTCGCTCAGAACCGTGCGGTGCCTCACTCCGAAAGTTGCCACAAATTCGCAAATCGCAGCCCCCAGGGACGGGGAGGTCTCGCTCAGATCCGCGCGGGGCCTCACTCCGCTGGACCCACCAACAGCCCTCGAAAGTGGCGACAGCTTCGCAGATCAGAGCCCCCAAGGCAAGGCACGAGGTGAAAAGAAGGAGAGGTAGGGCGGGAGGCAGGAGGTGGGAGGCGGGAGGAGAAGAAGGACGCCACCGCAGTGCTCTCTATTCAAAACGAATGCCCAACCAAGGAGGGTTGGGAAAAACACGCACGCACTAAACCAACATGCACGGGAATTGACGTCCGAGTGATGGCAGGGGGGGAGGGGCCCAACGCCCGCTCCATCTGATGCTTTGTTATCCAATCCTCGGGGGCGACCAGAACTGGGCCCTACGAAGCTCTGGGGCTCTGGGGTGTTCTGCAGGGCGACGGCGGAGGGATCGGGGGAGGCGGAGTAGCAGTTGTTCGTTTCTCCCCGCCCTGCCGCCCCCCAACAAATAATTGAACAACGGAGCTCGTACATGTGTTGGTTCGCATACCATTTGTTTAATCGGGGGGGCGACCAACACAACAAAGGGTGACCCTGCTCCCTTGAGGAGCAAGGCCGATGCAGGGAAGGAGGGGGAGGAGGACGAGGAGGACTGCGCGAAAGAGCACGGAGAGCATGGGCACGCACACTTCCAGAAACCCATTCAAAGACGCACGCGCGAACTCAGTGTGAAAGCTTCGCTCGCGCGCCCACGAACCGTAGGGACTTCACAATCCCCCGCGCCTTCGAGGAGGAGGAGGAGGAGCACTGATCCTCCAGCTGTAGCCAGTCGGCGAGGGCGTCCGTCGAAATTTCGGTCAATGGCAATCACATAAGAGAAGCGTTTTGGGGGAACGCGCCAGTTTCGGCCAAACCTGGGGCTCCCGGAGGGGGCCCAAACCCTTGTGTTCCCGCCGATGTCGAGACCATGCCGCACATGTCGTTATGACCACCTGTAGTCATGAAGCCGAGGACATGATTAAGAAACCTCTTCCCGCAGAATTGAGCCAGCGTTTCTTAGCCAACTTGCTCGAGAGCTGGCCCAGTTTCTTGTGCACGTTCGCCCCTCCAACATTATCAACGGAAGTCGGCACAGGTTTTCTTCAAGAACCTTCCGGAAAGCTGGCCCAAACTCCTTACATTCAGACGATCTCGATCATCCGGCTGTAGAGGACAACGTGTGTGGTGCTTCATCTCAGCGAGGGACAACCGCGTGGGCGGAGGGGCAGGCGCGAAGGGGTGAGGGAGGCTTGGTCAGGCGGTCCAGCTCGGTGTTCACTTCTGGCTCTTCTGGCGAGGGGCGGGGTGTCTGGCCACTGGCGCCGAGGGCATCGAAGGATGGAAGGTTCTGCCCCCCTCCTTAGCATGGGGGGATCGGGTCCTGAGGGAAACGGATCCAGAGGTTTTGCGCTGTTGTCGGGCTCTCGGGGCCCTCCACGGATTCAGGAGGAACAAGTGGTCCGGGGGGACGGCCCCGAGGCCGAGGACCCGCTTCCCTCATGCTAGACGCGTGGCCGCACGTCTCTCCAGCGCTCGGCCTTCGCGCGGACGGGCACTCTGGCCATGATCCCCCAGCTCCCCGCTGGGACCTGAGATGTCGGCCTCAATCGTGTTGGATCGCTTTGCGCATTGGCCTCTTCCTGTTTTGCTGCCGACCTGATGGGCGTAGCCTTGCCCGCGAGGTGAAGTACAGCCGAGGGAGGCAAGCCCTCCATTGTGCTTGCGCTCAACAGATCTCGCGTGCGACCGTTTCTCATCCGCGACATACTTCCACCAGGTCGGGCAGTTATGCCATGCTGTGCGGCGTACCTTGTAGTCGTCGCTCCCTGACTGGAGGCTTCCGTACGGCACCACACCATATCCGGATCCTTCAAGCAATTACCCCTCATCCTTCTGAAAGACACGTCGATGTTGAGGGGCGAGGCCAGGAGCTCCTCCCCTTCGCGGCCCGCGCTGATCTGTGCGTTTCCACGGGATGCGAGCTCCAACTCACGGGCAAGCAAACGCCGCAGCCCGCCACGGGTGAGGGCTCTAGCGCGCGTGCTGGGAAAAAAAACGATTATCAATAACAGGTTTTTTTTCCAGCGGAAGAAGCCCTGCGGCGAGGTGGGGGGGAGGAAGGGGAGGAGGGGGAAACCCGGCGGCCCGACGCGCCGCCGCACCATGCACATGCACTGGCCTCAATCCGGGGGCCCCGGCCGAGCCACGAGGCGCGCCCGCAGGGCCTCGCGCCAATCAGCCTCGTCGCCGCCGGCGCGGACCGCGGGCAGCAGCAGCAGCATGGCCGCGCTCGGCGGCAGCGCCGGTGCCGGCCCGCGAGCCGCTGCCAGCGAGTATCAATGACACGCCACCGTTCGGAGTCCGTCAGCGTGTCGCTCCTTCGTCTCGGTCCGAAGACCTGGTGTTTCTTCACCGGTGCTGATGGCTTCCCCACCTCGGCGTGTCCCCGATACTGCTTTGGCTGCCCCAGCGTGTCGTGCAACGATTTTTTGTTTGAGAGCAGCACGTCCGAGGCCTGCGGTGGGATGGGTAGATCTTGGTGCGCAGGCTTGGATACTGTGGTCGTTGCGTTAATACTTCTGTGGCGCATGCTGTTGTTACTTGCACTTCGGCGTGAACGCCGCCATGCGTTATGGCCACCTGCTCGTCACAACGTCGCATCGGGTTTCTGCATTGTGCGGGAGTCTTACGTAAACCAACAGCTCAGTGACTGTGGTGCTACGCGGTCGACGGTGCGAGTTTTGGTCCCACGCGAGATGCTGCTCGATTCACGAACGAGCCCGGACCATCTGCATATCTGAGCTCGGCGAGGGTTTTCTCATGGTTCCCTCGGTTCGTCTTCGAGGCTCCAGCTGGGGCCCAGGAGCCCTCCAGCTTTCAACGCGCTGTCCCGGGAGCACTATTCTGCTGGGCGCGCGAGGAGAGACGTGGAGAGGGGGAATGTCTGGCCGAGGGCCAAGGCGAACGCGAGGACCAATCCAGACATGCGCTGGCTCGATTGTTTCGAGTCGTGGACCCGCAGACCTCTCGACGACTACCTACCACGGGGACTGATTTTTGCGAGAGTTATTAGACTACCTAGGGGCCCAGGACAGACTTCCAGAGGCCCAGGATGGCGAGCAGAAGGGAGGTCTTCATTTCCGTTAGAAAGGCTTGGTGATTGGGGCGGCCAGAGCGGAGGTTCGCAGGCGATTTTTCTCCTCCAACCCCCGACTTTCAGACGAAAAAAGAAGCCGCTGCTCAGAAAAGGAGGGAAATCGTGGGCCACAACCCCAATTGGGGCTATTCGGGCGCACCACTATCGAGGATGGACGCCCCCCCATCGTACTCAGGATTGTGCCCAACATGTTTTGTCCTTTCGCAAACCTCCCAAAGCCCAAAGCCTGGGATAGGGGTCGACATGTCCCCTGTGAAGGGCGGGGGGACGGACGACATTGATCGTGAAAGTGAAGTACCGCCTCCACTTCAGTGGGCGTGGCGTCGCTCGGACATGTGCGTTCTTTTCTTCAGCGAGGACCATCGAGGAGCATCCTGGAGCATTTCGCCCAAAGGCAAGACGCAGGACACCAAGAAATGCATCGGGGAGTGGACGTGCGAGCCATGGCAAAGTGGGGCCCGCAGGATCTCGTCAACAAGATGAGGCAGGCGCAGGGCCTCGAGGTCGTCGAGGTGAAGAAGAAGGACCCCCCCCGCCTCGTGCCCTCCGTCGCCTCGTTCCGCCTCCTCGCGCCATAAGCGGGCGAAGTAGCCCCTACCACAAAGAATGCGATAAAGGGCATGGCCTCGCGGAGGTTCCCGTCGCTTGCATCAGGGATGATCGATTTGGGCGGGTGGGCGGCTTGGTCTAATACATCTGCAGAAAAGACCCCCCATCCCTAATGTGTTTGGCCCTCCTAGCGTAGGTCCCTCCCACAGGGTTAGGGGCACCTTTTTGTTAATCATCGCGCTCTCTTCGGCCAGCGGGGACGTCCCCCCCAGCAGGCCCCCCTCAGAGCTGTCTGGACTCTGCTGGGCCATGCCCCACGCTAGTGGACCAGTCTCTGGTTTGATCACCCTTGCAGTAACCTCAGACGTCCGTTTCATTTACATACATGCTCCTCGCCTGGTTTATGTCCCCCCTCTTCCCACTCGCATGCTTTGGGTACAGTACCCAGCGAGTCCCCAAAGGCATTTGAGGGATCAGCCGCTCGATGTGATTGGTCGTGTAATGGTACATGTTGGTGAGCTTGCTTGTTGCTAGAGTTCAATTTCCCCTGGGGGGGGGGTTGGTTTAGTATGATGTCGTGCAAATTCATGCTTCAAGGTCATTCGTGGCCGCAAGGCGGATTCACAATACAGTGCAGCACAGCCTTAGATGGTCAGTCAGCATTTCATCTAACAGTCTTTGGCATACCCTGCCCCCTGAATCTCGGCCTTGTCTTTTCGGTCCATGTTCACCTCGTGCGTGCCTGCTGATCGCTTTAGAGCGGCTTCTCTTTGCATCAGGAGACGGTCGACGACGGCTGGTGAGCGGGGAGGCACACGCGACTGTTCTAGACGGTTTTCAGCGGCCTGGCCGCCTCAGAGGCGCCAGATTTCAATGCTGCTCGAGAGGCAAATTTTCACGAGTGGGCGGGCTCATTCTTGAGCGCAGAGAGGACTTGGGAGTTGGCGACTGCAGGTATTCATGGGGGCGCAGTGTGATTTGGGAACTGGCGCTCTCATTCAGGCCTCGATGGCGGAGCCAAGCCCCCAGCTCTGGCCCAAGATCCCGAGGACTCTGTAGGGTTGTTGAGGGCTGGGCTTCCTGGTGTCTTCCTTCGATCCCCGCAGGCGATTGTTCTCCCCCAACCCCCGACTCTTCGACGAAAAATGAAGCCGCGCAGAAAAGGATGGAAACCCTGGGATACACCCGAAGGGGGCTATTCGGACGCACCCGTGAGGATCGATCGAGGGTCGAGGATCGAGGATCGATCGAGCAAGAGGCCGCGGCGGAAAGTTCTCAGCAGTTCTCGGCCTCCAGGGGCCCCCACCGCGCCCCAGGACTCCGAGACGGGGAGTTGTGCAGAACCGCCGCCTGGGGGAGATCGACCTTCTGGAACCCCCTGGGGCCAAGCTGTATCCATACAGTCGAGCATCTGATTGCGAGACCTCCTCCTGAACAGCTGGGCGGGCGTCTCTTAACCACCTTGCTGGAAAGCTGGCCCAGTGTCTTGAGCTTGTTCGCCAATTACAGCGTGAACAGCAGAAGTTGGCCCAGGTCTGCTTCAAGACGCGTCTGCAAAGCTGGCCCAGGTTTCTTCACCGATAGTTGTCTTGATCCTTATGTGTGCTGTGCAATGCAGCACACAGCCTCCACCCCAGACATTGCACGGCATGGATTGCACCGCTCTTCAATCATCTCAGGCTCTAAGCGCCCCGCCGAGGCCAGGGCCAACCGCACCCTCGGGGCATTTACATATCCATTCTGCGCGGCCGCTCATCCTATCAAGTAGCCGCATACCAGCCAGTCTGGGCGTACACACACACTATATATATATATATATATATATATATATATATGGAATGGACTTCGGCCCATTCCGCTACCGTGCCTGGCTTGTGAGACGTAGGCCTCTGAGATGTTCGTTGAAAGTCGCCCGAGGCCTCCTGGGGGCCGCTTGGGGTCCGTTTTCAGGCCCCTTGGTGGCCGTCTGGGGGCCTCTCGGGGAGTCTTGGGGACGTCTTGGGGATCTCTTTGTTACTCCTTGGTGCCTCTTGGGGACCTTTCAGGGCGGAAGGCTCGGATTTTCGGTTCGTGTTCCCCTTCTTGGGTCCTTCTTGGGGCTGTCTTTGGGCCGTCTTGGGCGACTCGTGTGCCGTCTTTGGGCCCTCCTGGGGGCCTCTTGGGCCATCTTGGGGCGGTCTTCGGGACCTCCCTAGGCCCTCTGGGAGCGTCGGAAGCTGGAAGAGTCCAGAACCCCCAAAACATTGAAGAGCCTCAGGATCATCACAGATTTTGGCTTCTCGGGCCCTTTTGGTATGGCTCTTGGCGCCCTCTTGGGGCGCGTCGAGTGCTTCTTGGGCAGACTGGAGGCCATTGTGGACGTCTTGGGCCGATTTGTCGGTCGATTCGGGGCCCTCTTGGGCCGTCTGGACGGCCTCTCGGGGCTCCTTGGGCCCGGCTTGGGGCCCCCTCAAGCTCGAAGACGTAATGCATGACTATGCCCCAGGCCCAGAAGGCATGGGGCAAGCCCCAAGAGATTTGGCACAATTTGGGGCCCGTGCCCCTTTGACGATCTTCAGGACTGAGGACCGCGTCTCCACGGGATCGGACAAGGAACCTGAGAACATTCTAACTCGTGCCTCGAGGGCCCAGTGGCTGGTGGTGGGTATCACAATCATACCCATAGATACACCGATGGGAGTACGTATGATGTATGTGCGTGTGTATATGTACGCATGCATGCAGGTACGTTCCTATGCGTGCCCACTGGCGTACGTTCGTATGTACGTACGTTCGTACGGACAGCGGTAGCTCATGAGTGCCCGCAGATATCTCGCTTCCATGCTTCCTTCGCGCCCTGGACCCTCCGCCTTCGCTCCCTGCACCCCTCTCGTTGTCGTCGCCGCCGTCGTCGGCGGCGGCGTCTGCGCCAGCGTCGGTGGCGTCACGTCATTCCGTATCCAGTTTGGCTCGAGAGTTTCACACGGGCCGTCCGACAGTCCCATGGAGCGATGCGCTTCGGGAGCCGACGGGCCTACGTCCACCAGCAGCCGAGACAACAGGCGATGCGAGGGCGCCCTCGAGGGAGAGGACACGCACACGCTGGCCGAGCCTGGCGTTGTGGCGGGCTCCGAGCGGCTGCGCGGTGGCCCGCCAAGCCCGCCTGCCACTGGTCTGCTCTGCCTGACCGTTGCGGCGAGCTACACGTGCTCGGCGGCCACGACAACGCACATCCAGACCGTGTGCGGGTACGCCGCGCCAGTGACGATCACCTACATCAATGAGCTAGTTCTCGGGACCGTCGCAGCGTCGGCGCTGCTGTACGCCAGGCCGCCTACTGCGAGCCTCGCCCTTGCCCGGGCGCAGGCGCCCTGGGCACTGGTGCTCTCGCCTACGGCCTTCGGGGCCAACGCCGCATTTGCTGCAGCTTTGCGGCTCACTTCCGTGGCATCTGCGGTCACCCTCGAGCAGCTCACGTCGCTCTTCATTGCAGCGTTGTCGTACCATCTGCTGGGAGAGCGCTACGGCTTACCGTCCATGTTGATGCTGGCCGTCGCAGTTGGAGGAGCCATCGTGGCCACCCTGGCGGACGTCAGTGGGCCAGCCGACTTGGTGAGAGGCATTAGCCCGTTGTTGGGCGATGCCCTTGCCTTGCTCGTTGCATTCTGTTCGGCCTTCTACATGGTTTTGTTCAAATGCGCGTTTCCTTCGATGGACCCGTGGGGGCTGGTTCTTTTCTTCGCGGTCAAGGCAACCGTAACCGTCGGTGGTGGTTGGATTGTTTTACTGGTGTTCAATGTGCTCGGCTGGGATCATGCAGGATCTCCTTCAGCATGCGCGCTGGCGTGGGTGCCAATCGGGTCGTGCTTACAGGCGCTGTTCAATTACTCACTGATTTGGACTACCATTCGTACCTCTCCGCTGACTGCACGACTATCGCTACTGTGCGCGATACCAATTTCGTTCTCCGTAGACTTGTGCACGGGCGCACCAGGAGAGGAACACCCCACGCCGTCACAGGGTCTCCACAGGCCGATTCTTGGACTCAGAGGTTTCGGTGGGCACGGGGTCTCCTGCCAGGCCGGGGGGGGGCATCCCCACCAAGTTCTGGGTCTAAAGTGGGCCCGTGGAGTCTTCTGCAGTGGTCACGTGTAACACCCCGCGTCTGATCATATCGATGCTCGATGGTGACGACGATGATGCAGATGATGCTGATTATGACGATGATGTTTATAATGATGAGGGCGATGTCGATTATGCTACCAATGCTTATACTTATGATGAATATGCTATTGTTGACGATGATGATGATGATGTTGATGGTGGTGATATTGTTGCTGCTGCTGGTGATGACGATGACGATGACGATGATGATGATGATGATGATGATGATGATGATGATGGCGATGATGGCGATGGTACTGATGACGATGATGCTGATGTTGCTGATGAAGAGGAGGGAGACGATGCCTATGATGATACTGATGATGATTCTGATGATGATGGTAACGGTGATGCTGATGCTCATGAAGATTTGGACGACCACGACGACGATGATTAGGATTATGAAGATACTGTGGATGATTGTGCTGATCATGATCGTTGTGGCAGTGATGCTGGTGCTGATGCTGATGCTGGCACTGATGGCGTTTATGATGACGACGATGTTGATGCTGTTGGTAAAAAAGATGATGATGATGATGATGATGATGATGATGATGATGATGATGATGATGATGATGATGATGATGATGATGATGATGATGATTCTGACGATGCTGAGGATGCTGATGACGGCGATGATGATGCCGACGATAGTGATGATGCGTATGATCATGTTGGTGAAGATGAGGGTGATGGTGAGGATGATGATGGTGATGATGATGAGGAGGAGGAGGAGGACGAGGGTGGCGATGCCGGAGATGATACCGATGATCATTATGATGATGCTTGGTTGTGAGGCTGATGCTTATGATGATGATGCTGATGATGATGATGATGATGCTGATGAAGATTATGATGTGGACGACCACGACGCCGACGATTAGTTTTATGATTATACTGACGATGATTGTGATAGTTCTGATGGTGGCTGTAGTGATGCTGATGCTGGTGCGGATGCTGATGAAGGTTCTGATGGCGGCGATGTTGATGCTGATGGTGATGATGACGGCGATGACGGCGATGAGGATGATGACGACGATGTCGATGTTGATGGTGACGGCGATGATTATGATGCCGACGGCGACGACGATGCTGATGATGTTGATGGTCCTCATCATCGTGCTGATGATGAGGGTGATGATGTGGATGACGATGTTGAAGATAATGATGATTCTGAGAATGTTGATGCTGATGATGATGTTGATTCCACGCGCGATGATGATGATGTTGCTGCTGATGGTAATCAAGATCTGGCACTGCTACTTATGACGGTGATACGGGTGCTGATGCTTATGGTTATGACAATGGTGGTGACGATGCGGATGATGTTTATGTTGATGCTGATGATGATGTCGATGATGATAGTGATGATGATGCTGATGATGCTGTTGATGCTGATGCTGATGCTGCTGCTGATGCTGCTGCTGATGCTGGTGATGGTGATGGTGATGGTACTGATGATGACGATGAGGGTGATGATGTTGATGCCATTGCTGCTGCTGGTTAAGACTATGATGATGATGATGATGATGATGATGATGATGATGATGATGATGATGATGATGATGATGATGATGATGATCAGGATGATCAGGATGATCAGGATAATGACGATGCTGATGATGAGGAGGAGGAGGTGGAGGATGAAATTCGTTTCGCTGTATTGGGGCTGTCTTCGCTTCCTGCGGTTCCTCGGGTCCGTCCTGGGGGCTTCTTAAGCTGGCTTCGGTTTCTCTTGGGCCGTCGTGGGGCCCTCTTGGCCGTATTGTGGGTGTCTGGGGGCCTCCGTGTTGTTGTCTTGGGCCGTCCATTGACCTTCTAAGGCCGTCTTGGGTCCCATTGGAGGTCATCTTGTGCCGTCTTGGGGCCGTTTTGAATGCCTCTCGGGCCATCATGGAGTCCTCTTGGGCCTCTTTGAGCTCACGGCAGCCCAAAAGTGCGAGAATGCGAATATCATTTTGAAAAGTCTATGGACGACAACATGTTCGGTTTCTTCAGGCACTGCTGGAGGTCCTCATGTGGCCCTTGTGGGCTCTCTTGGAGGCGTACTGGGTTGCCTTGAAGCAATATTCGGCCGCCTTCGGGCCATCTTTGGTTGTCTTCGAGGCATCTGTTGGCCGTCTTGGTGTCCTTGGTTGCCTGCGCGGACCGTCTTGGAAGCTCGGGACGCATACCCATCGCTTTAGCAAGGGATCGTGGTTTGGGAGGCTCTGGAGCGCTTGGGAACAGCGCCTGCGAATGCGGGAAGTGCGCAATCCTCGAGAGGGCGCGCATGGACTGAGGATTCAGGCATTAGCTGCCGTGGGAAGTGCACAATCCTTGAGCGGGCACGCGTGGAAGGTGGGTTCAGGCATTGGCTGCCTGCGGGACGTTCACCATCCTTGAGCGGGCACGCGTGGAAGGTCTTTCAGGCATTCGCTGCCATGCGGGAAGTGAACCATCCTCGAGAGGGCACGCGTCGAAGAAGGGTTCAAGCATCATTTGCCATTCTGGAAGTGCACAATTCTCGAGCGGGCTCGAGGAAAGTGGCCTCGGTGACTTTGGGGGGATGAGCGCAAGAGTTTGCGAGTAGAGGGGGGGGGGGCGGCCCCTTGATATATATATATATATATATATATATATATATAGATCATAAGGAGCCCACAGGACAGCCCTTGGCATTCTTCCACGCATGCACATGCCACGGGGCATGGTGGCGGATTGATCCATACACACGCACAGACATATCTATATCAGAGTGAGGGGGGCCGAACGGTCATTCACTGTCCCTGGGTGCGTGGCTGAAGTGGGATTCCGCGGTGCGGATTCTTGTTGTTGTTGTTGTTGTTGTTGGTGGTGGTGGTGGTGGTGGTGGTTGTTGTTGTTGTTTGTCGTCGTCGTCCCACCCGCAACCCGCCCCGCGACCCACCCGCGACCCACCCCGCGACCCACCCCGCGACCCACCCGCGACCCACCCGCGACCCGCCCGCGACCCACCCCGCGACCCACCCCGCGACCCACCCCGCGACCCACCCGGCGACCCACCCGCGACCCAACCGCGACCCACCCGCGACCCAACCGCGACCCACCCCGCGACCCACCCCGCGACCCACCCCGCGACCCACCTTCGACCCCAACCACGTTCAAGGTACCAACCACCATTTTCGGCGCCTGCGGCGGACTTTTTTTGCATTGCTTCCAGGTGGAGAGCCCGCGACCCACCCCGCGACCGACTCGCGACCAACCCGCGACCCAAACCACGTTCAGGGTACAAACCACATTTTTCGGCGCCTGCGGCGGGCATCTTTTGCATTCGTTTCAGGTGGAGAGCCCGCGGCCCACCCGCGACCACGTTCAGGGTACAAACCAAATTTTTCGGCGCATGCGGCGGGCATAATTTGTATTCGTTCCCGGTGGAGAACCCGCGGCCCACCGGCGACCCAAACCACGTTCAGTGTACAGACCAAATTTTTCGGCGCATGCGGCGGGCTGCTTTTGCATTCCTTCCAGGTGGAGGTGGAGAGCCCGCGACCCACCCGCGACCCAAACCACGTTCAGTGAACAAACCAATGCCGCACAAGCGCGGCGGCGGCGGATTTTTGCATGCCGTCTGAGCCCGCAACGACCTCTTCAATCCCCGCGCATCCACACCAGCCCGTCCAGCAACTTTGCCCTGGCGAGTTGCCTTGATCAGAGAAGTCGGGGAGCACAAAGTGGAAAAGAGGATTGCGTTGCCGTCATCTAGGGAAAGGAGGGGGAGGCAGGAGGAGTAAACAGGGGACGAGGAGGAGTAAACAGAGGATGTAAGGATAATGTGGAGAAAGAGGAGGAGGAGCAGGAGGACAAGGGGGGGGAGGAGGGGGAGGAGGAAGACGAGGAGGGGGAGGAGGGGGAGGGGGGGAGGGGGATGATGATGGACGACAATGGGAGCACGATGATGGACGCCGATGAGGGGGAAGACGACAGTGGGAGGACGGTGATGGAAGGACGAGTGGGGGAGAGGGAGGGCGAGGAAGAAGAGGAGGAGGACGAGGTGGAGGAGGATGACGATGACGATGGGGACGACGACGAGGACGAGGAAGAGGAGGAGGAGGAGGAAGAGGAGGAGGGGCAGAGCGCCATCGACAGGGAAGGTTGGGGCCACGAGGTCCGCCGGCTCGACGACGCCCGCGTCGCCCGCGCCTGCCCCCTCACTCTTATCCGCACTTGCGGGGTGCTAATATGTATGTTTGTGTGTATATGAATGAATGAATGAATGAATGAATGAATGAATGAATGAATGCATGCATGAATGAATGAATGAATGAATGAATGTTTGAATGTATGCATGTATATATATATATATGTGTGTGTGTGTGTTCACAAGATTTTGGGGCTCGCTGCGCTTCGCCTTCGAACTTCGGGCGGCGCCGATGACCCGGCCCCCGTCGGGGCCGACGTCTCCCCCCAGGATCCCGCTCTTGTCTTTGGTTGTCATTTGGTTTCCAGGACGACGAGGTCGGCCCATGGACTGATCTCCCCAATGTCGGCGACGGCCCAGAGGTCGCCGCGTCGCCATCTGCTGCTCAGTTCTGCTCGGTCTCGCGCGCTGGGAGAAAGCGCAATGCGAATCCGCTGGATCACCTCGCCCCTCCCATGTCGGCTTCTCCAGAGAATGATTGAGAGACCCCCTCCAGCCAGACGACCACAGGCGCAGGTAGTCCCACCCTCCCCACTGTTGCCGATGCCCCCTCTGGCCCCCTCGTTCTCCACCCCATCCGACGCGTGGCTTCTGGCTCGAGCCTCTGTCGGTTTTTTGCCACGAACGCGCTTAGACGTTTGGGGCTTCGTTCGGAGGCTCGT